TGTGCTGGTGAGGATGTGGGGAAAAGAGAACCCTAGTACACTGCTGGTGGGAATTCAGACTGGTGCAGACACTGTGAAAAACAGTATGGAATTTCCTCAAAATATTAAAAATAGAACTGTCATTTGACTCTACAACCCCACTTATAGAATGTATCCTAAGAATCCTGAACTCTAATCAGAAAGAACATATGTAAGGTAGATGGGGTCAAAATGGGGGGAAATGGGTTCATCTGTAATACCCTCAACAATAAAAAATAAATTAAAGAAAAACAAACACAAATTTTCCAGAATGTAGAGTGGTAGGGCTTGGAGATAATATAATAAAAATAACTGGCATTCATCATAGTCCCAATCTCCTTTAGGCATGGCAGGAGGTGCTTTACAAACACTCAGTACTTTCCTGCAGTCCTATGGGGGCTTATCAAACCCACCTACTTCACAGATGAAGAACCTGAGGCTCTCAGGGCCAGCTAATATCACCAGGATCATATAGTTAGAAAGTGACAGACAGAGATTGGATCCCTGGTCTGAATTCCATCTAAAGTCCACGCTGTTCACACCCATCCCAGACTGTGCCTAACCCTCTGACTCATAAATCATTTTTCTTCTCAGTACTGCATGATGTCTCTAGGGAAATAAAAAGAGGGACCTGGGGCCAAGGCACTAAAAGCAGGTCTAAGGAAGGTGACAGTGCGAGTCAAACACAGTTTGAGTTCTGTCTGTGGCCTTTATTTACCAAGGTTCGGCCTGCCCAAGTCCCAGGGTCCCTTGAGAGCTGAGATGTTGGCATTTCTGTCCAGTCCAGGCATTTTTCCACATAACAGCACCCTTCCCCTGGGCTTCCCCTGTGTGCCCTCTTGTCTACCCTGGATCCTTGCCCACTGACCAGCTGCTCACTGCTGCCTCCTCTGAAGGCTGTGGCCACTCATAGTGGAACAACTCTGAACCTCCTACCCTCTATATCCTCACACCACCCCACCCCCAGCTTAGAACATTTCTACTCCCTGCTGAAGTACTGGCCATCCATTCCTCTCCCTGGAACCACTCTGATGGAAAAATGTCTTTGAATTTGAACAGTGATCTTTAGATACTTGAACATCCTGGGGATGTATTCAGGACATTCTTAAAATGCTTTCCAAATGAATCAATGAGTACAGTATGATTGGGCCCATAATCTACCAATTTGGGGATGTAACCCTGAAGTTAGAGGGAAGGTTTGTTAGAATACCTGCTGTTTACAGCAGGAGTTTAATGGGGTGTCTTATTTGAAGCTGGCCACACAACACATACACGGATGAATCAGCTTACCTAGCTTGTCACATCCAAGTTCCTCCTTCCTAAGTGGTAGATTCAGAAAGACCATGGAAATCACTGTGGAGAAAACATCTACAGAGGCTAAATTCCCCCAAACTTGGATCCCCCTTGTAGGTGAAAAATGGTTTCTTTGTAGACATGCTCATCCTAATTACAAATGAAAAAAATTATCTTTTCCCCCCACTGTTTCATGTCTGTGTGTCTGTACCCCAGGAAAAGAATCATTTTCAGTGTACCTGATGGCACCTGTATAGCTGTTTAGGTATGTAGAGGGTAGCAGAAACTCACAAGATTCTGGTCATGCATCAAAAGGAAAGAGAAAATTCTCATCCAAATGAGACTATATTGGTTATCTCAAACGGGGGTGTACAAAAGTGTTATTGAGTGAAGATGGCAAATCCACTCAACTGATATTTACAGGATCTGATGAAATTTTCATGTGATCCTGTATTTTAAATTAGCTGTCACATATTAGTCACCTGTCACATATTAGTTATTAAAAAAGTTGGAGAACTTAAGGCAAATTTGATTTTTTCAGAAATTCCTCCAAAAAATGAGGGTTATTGATATTGGCATAGAAGCTCTTGTTTTTCCAGGTGCTATGGTTGTTAGAGAATGATAGTTGAGGGATTCTCCACACATACACAAGTTTTTGTCCATTCCAAGTTCACACTGGCATTCAGTGACTGGTCAGTGCAAGAGAATACCAGCCCAGCCCCTCTTCTATGATTTATAAAATTCAGAAGGCCCAACCCAACCTCACAACTCCCTATGTGTTCAGATGAGGCCCTTATTCTGAATGCATTGCAGGCCAATCTCTTCTCCCATGGCATTGACCCTAAGAGAACTCCCCAGTCAATCCTCTGAATGCTAATCTCAGTCTCAGATACTGCTGCAGAGAAAAACTAACCAGTGACAGTATGTTTTTCTATACATTATTATTATTATTATTATTATTATTATTATTATTTGCTTTTATTATTCATTCTTAAAAGGGACACAATTGCTGAAACCGGTTTGGCTCAGTGGATAGAGCATCGGTCTGCGGACTGAAAGGTCCCAGATTCGATTCAGGACAAGGGCATGTACCTTGGTTGTGGGCACGTCCCCAGTAGGGGATGTGCAGGAGGCAGCTGATTGATGTTTCTAACTCTCTGTTTCTCTCCCTTCCTCTCTGTAAAAAATCAATAAAATATTTTTTTAAAAGGACACAATTTTCAATATTTGTATAGCTTCTGGTGTTTTATTTTCCATCCCCAAAATATAAACATTTTCATCTATATTGTCTTATGGTTTTCCTTAGAAGTTTGTAAGTTGTTAATTGATCTGTAATTCTGATGTAAAGAGAGTAGAGATAATCTTTATTGTTTTTTTTTACATGATTAACTAGCTCTCTCTACACTATTTATTTTTAAAATTAATTTTCCTCAAAACTTTTCTAAGGTGTAATCTGCTTTTATCATTTTTTCCAATTTCTACTTAACTCCAAGTTAATACTTAACTCATTTTCCCCATTGTGTTTAGTAACTGAAATGCTTAAATTATTAATTTTATCTAAGTGCAGTGTTAGCTGCATCTGATGTTTTAATATTTAGATTTTAAAATTAATTTTAGATATGCCCCCAATTATGTTTTTAATTCCTTTATTTTTTTAAAATTGATCTTTATTGTTAAGAATAATACATATGTCCTCCATCTTTTCCCTCATTGTCCCCATCCACTGGGGTCATGCCCCACCCCAGGCCTTTACCACCCTATTGTCTGTGTCCATGGGCTATGCATATATACATATAAGTTATTTGGTTAATCTCTCCCAGCCACCCCCTTTCCTCTGTGATCTGTCCTCTGTCCCATGCTTCCATGTCTCTGGATTTATTTAATTTCTTCATTAAAAAATATTCCATTGAATTTATTGAGGTGACATTAGTTAATAATTTTTTTTCTTGAGAACTTCTTTTTTTCCCTTTATTGATTAAGGTATTACATATGTGTCCTTATCCCCCATTGTCCCCCCTCCTACACACACACACACACACACACACACACACACACACATACACCAACTCATGCCCTCACCTCCCCTGGCATCTGTGTCCATTGCTTAGGCTTATATGCATTCATACAAGTCCTTTGGTTGATCTCTCTCCTTTAACCTCACCTCCCCTGCCTTCCCTCTGAGGTTTGAAGGTTTGATTGATGCTTCTCTGTCTCTGGATCTGTTTTTGTTCATCCATTTATGTTGTTCATTATATTCCACAAATGAGTGAGATCATGTGATATTTATCTTTCTCCATTTCTCCATTTTTAAATAACTGTTTGCATACACTTTTTAAAATTCTACAAATGGTGGGAATTTTCTTTGTTCTTATCTTTATTGAAGTGTGACTAAGGTATCCCATTTGTATTAATTCTTTTTTTCAAAATACATTTGAATATGAATGCTCACAAATTTGCATATCTTCATTGCTAAAGAGCCAGGCTAACTTTTATTTTCCCCCAGCTTCACTGTAATGTAAGTACAAATGAAGAGCTATTTACCTCCTAAATTGTTACTTATAAGTTGCCATGGGTTAGGACATCCACAATAGGACATGTGGAATTCTTTATTTAATTAAATTCTTTATTGATTAAGGTATCACATATTTGTCCTCAACCCCCCATTTCAATCCCCCCCCCCCACTTAATCCCCCCCTCCCTAATGTCCTTGACCACTGGTTAGGCTCATATGTGTGCACATAAGTCCTTTGGTTAATCTCTCCCTTTTATCCCCACCCTCCCTTTGAGCTCCAACAGTCTGACCCATGGCTCCTTATCTCTGGATCTTATAGGGAAGGTGTTTCAGTGTTATTTCACAAACTTTATGACAAAACTGTTGGGTGTTCAGATGCCATTTGTCTCTTCATTTCTCATTATTGGTTCTGAGTTTCTTTAGAGCTAAATGTGTCACAGGATGCTAGGACTAACACTTCCTAACATACCTCTAGAGACATTTCATTTGAAGAATGTATCAACCAAGATCTCCAAGCTTACTCACAGGGTATTGGGATTTCTGGGGTCTCATCCTTCTCCATTACTCACTGACTATAGACACTCCTCTCTGTGTCTTGGAATCTCCCTCTTCACATGGTGGGGAAAATGTTCTGAGTTTGATTATCTGTGCGGACATTCTAGGTGAGGCTAGAATGACGGCTGAAACAAAATGGACATGGAGAGGTATAATGCTTCTATGCAGAGGTATAGAAGCAAGTAAGGAGATCAATAAAAGGGGCCATCTACTTAGTCTCTCTCACTCTTGCACTGAGAGCAGGTTCATATGCATGCTTTGTAGGTCTGTAGATCATGGATGGGAGAGTAAAATAGTCAAAAGGTTGGATCATTACTATAAGATTTAAAATCTGAGCTGAGGCTGAAACCGGTTTGGCTCAGTGGATAGAGCATCGGCCTGAGGACTCAAAGGTCCCGGGTTCGATTCCGGTCAAGGGCATGTACCTTGGTTGAGGGCACATCCCCAGTAGGGGGTGTGATGGAGACAGCTGATCGATGATTCTCTTTCATCGATGTTTCTAACTCTCTATCACTCTCTCTTCCTCTCTGTAAAAAAATCAATAAAATATATATAAAAAATAAAAATAAATAAAATCTGAGCTGAGAACAAACTTGAATGCTTAAGAAACCAGTCACACGTTGTATGCTTTGCTGATATATTTATTGATATATTTCCCCTTTACAGGTGATGGTGACAAAAAGCAGATGGAACCCCTTCCCTATCCCACCCCCAATAAAATACAGACACAGATTTCACTGAGCATATACAAGCATTGGGGCATGTCCAAATTTGACCTCACTGGGTTTTCAGAGCCAGGAGAGGTTGGATCTTGAGGGCAGTCTGAGCACCTGAGGCCCAGGAATTGAGCAGACCAAAGCTGAAGAGAAGCTGCTACTCTGGGCCCTGCCACTGGGGTGCCAGCAGAGGCTATAGAATTGAATCATGGTGAACACAGATGCCTAGCCCTGTCATGTAGTCTAGAAACTGACAGTGGGCTCCTGGGTAGTTTCCAGTGAGATCCACAGTCCCATAGAAATCTGTGCCTCAGGGTTCTCATCTGCAAAATGGGGATAAGAATCCTGCCCCGAATCTTTCATAGGGCTATAATAAGGCTATCATAGAATAATTTTTCAAAAGTGGTTTTTTGTGTTTTTTTTGCAAAAGGTAAAGTTCTGTATAAATTTAAGGGAATTCAATTGATTGTGATTGTAAGCATGCCCCAGCGATAAGAGTGGACTGGCTCATGGATCCAGGGGCCAAGGAAGTGGCAGAACGTCTATGCTGTGCCTTAGAGGGCACCAATCAATGCAAACAATGCCCACTGCAAAGCAGAGTTCCCTTCATTTCTTGGCCCTAGGAAGTCACCATGGCCTAGCACCTGGGTCAGGGCTGGGAAAGTCACTGGGGTAGTTACATTAAGAGTCACAGCGGTGAAGGAGGAAGGAGAAGGAAGCATATAAAGCAGGGGGTTATTACTATTATCACACAAAAATATAAACCCACTGTATGAAAGGCATTGAATTGGTAGTGCAGATGAATGACAGAGGCAGGGGTTGGGGAGGGAGCGGAAGGCATCACAGCAGCAGATGGGGGATACTGTCCTAAAGAAGTTCAAGTGTTGGCTCTCCTTTTAAAGGGATAATGTCAATTTCTGTCTATCTGCAGGGAAAGGGTGGGCAGGGAAATAGAACCAATAATATAATAATCTCACCTAAGGATGGGAAATACACACACACCTTATTACACTGCTGCCCAGCATCTTAAGAAAGTGTCAGAAACAGGCAAGCAGGTGGTCTGTGCACTTTGAGGCTGAGGCCAGATCTGGGCCTGGAGCACCACAAAGCCAGAATTAGAATTCTTGAAAAAAGTAGTGTTCGTCAACACTGTTGGGAGATAGCTAATCTGCTTATACTTGGGCATGACATTGGGAGCTGGTCACTGACAACCTATAATTTTTAAGGTTGAACATCAACATCTCTATTCCCCTTAAGGAATAGAGAGATGAGCCATTTTACTCTAAAAGGGCTGCCATGGAGATTTAGTGAATGGGTTGGAAGGGGGGGGGGGGGGAGAGAGGAAAGACGTGTTCTAATTGCTCCTGCTGCTGCTTTCCCCCAATTCCCTTGGCAAGGCATGAGGGACCTCCAGGGGAACTTGTGGGGTTACCCCATAGGGTACCAGCTGGTACCTACAGGTTAAAGCAAATAACCCAGTAGAGCACATTGACAATGAAGAAGGTCACTGGGAAAATAACTCGTGAGTAGTTATCCAGTTGGTAAATGTGGATGAAAAGGCGTCCCTGATGCCAAAAACTGCCATCACGACTGCTGACCACGCACAGGTACTTGCAGAGCCTGCAGCAGTTGCGATGGCGCTGGGTGAGATTCGGGTTGATGGGCTGTTGAGGTGGGGAAGATGGGCCATCCTCTTCATCATTCTCCGGACCAGTTCCCTCGATGTCCAATACAAAAATACCTTCCTGCTGTTGTTGTTGGGCTTGGATGCGGGGTGGGGTAAGGTCATGGGTACGGGTAGGAGGCTGAAATGACCGAGAAAGGGGAAATAGTAAAGAAAAGATGAACCAAGCCTCAGGGATTTGTAGAGATTCTGTCCTGGGTACACTTTTTTTGCCCCCTCCCCCAATTCCCACCATCACATTAGAAAGTTTATTCAACTCCCCATAATACTTCAGGTTACCTCCCCCACCCCCCACTCAGGGAGCTGGCTACTCATGAATTCTAGTGCCCTTACTTGCATGCTTCAATACTCCCAAACCATGCTACCACTCCCATACCCAGCTCATACATAGCGAAGTCTCGGAGAAGCACTGGGTCTCATGTGGTTGTGGATCAGGAACTTAAGCACCGCATACTCCACCAGAGCACATAAGCAAAAGAGGAAGCAAATAGCAGTGTAGACATCCAAGGCTGTCAAATAGGATTCACGCGGGAAATCCTTCTTGGTATAGGAACCCAATGTGGTTATGGATAGTACAGAGGTGAGGCCTGTTAAAGCACAGGAGTGGAAGTAGGCTTAGCTATGTATTCATATATCACACTGCTGAAAGGATCAGTGAGAAGGCAATTCTGTACCCAGGTGGATGCCCACCTTACCCACTTACCTATAGAGGTCCTGGCTGGAACAGATTCTTTCTTGATCCAAAAGGAAATCCAGGACATGATCGTGGTCATAAAAGAAGGGATATAGTTTTGAATAGTACTAAAGCCAAATCGCCTGGTTACATTAAAGACAAGCGTGAAGACAGTGAAATCACCTGGAAAACATAAAAAAAAAAAATACCACTTCATTACAGCATTGACATAAGAGTCTTCCCCAGGCAGGACAAGCATATTAAAGGTCCCATTGTTCAGCCTATGGGACCACAGACCTAAGATAGAGGCATATTATTTCAGTGCCACGTACAGAGAATCAGAAGCCCAGAAAAGAGACACCCTGCAAGACCCTTTGTCAGTTAAGAGCTAAGCCAGGAGAAGAACCTTAATTGCTTCTTTCTCAGTTCACTGTTCCACACCCTACATCTGCCTTTCCAGGATGGCAGAAGAGTCAGATGAAAGTGAAAAATCAGCTAGCTCTCTAGATATTAGGACCACACAGCTAATGTCCAGATGTCTAACTGAGGCCTTTACGTCCACTGAGTTGACACATCTACTCTGCAGAATCACAGCTTTACACATGCACCACCAGCCCTTATTATATTTATTCTCAGCAAAAGAGCCAAGGGTGGTCTGTGAGGTAGTGGGAAAAGCACAGAATCTATTAGGCCTCCTTCCCATACATTCATATGCTGATGAAATACCTTAGCACTGTTCTATTGATGGCCACAAGAAATCACTAGCCTAATTCCAAAACTCTGGTGGTTCCCTGTTCCAGAAGAGCTACAGAATCAAGTTTATACTATGTACCTGACACCAATGGACTGACTCTGTCATCTTACATGTATATGCACATACCACCATACCCTAAGCTAATCGTATCTATGCTCAGATTCCCTGCAATAGCTTGGAACCCTAGACTCCCTGTTCTTAATCTAGTACCATAACCCAAATTGAGAGATTTGGAAAAACAGAAGAATTAGCTGAAAGTGAAAATTTTATTTAGCCCTCTAGATGTCAGGTATATAGAGTATACACCCACAGGCTGCTGGGGTCTTGACATTCAGTTGGGCATCATGTCCTTGATGTTGGCTCTCTCCCTAGATTAGGGGTGTCGAACTCAATCAGAGAAGGGGCCAAAATCTAAAATCCAGCCTAAATCGCGGGCCGAATGGTTTACTGAACAGTCATAAACTGTCATTGTGATGGAAACGCAGCGGAGTGCAGTGATGACAGCGCGGTGCGGGCCACATTGCAAGGCCTGGCAGGACGGATTTGGCCCGCGGGCCTTGTGTTTGACACATGTGCCCTAGACGGTTGATGACTTCAATAGGACCTAATGACAACCTACTTCTCTAATTAGTATCTTCTATTGTACCATTCATGCTGCCCTCTACTATGACACATTCATCTCAAACACTGCATGCCCACCATGACTTCAGAAATGTGAGGGCTTTTCTGAACCCAAAACATCCCTTTTCTTTGTCAACATCACATTGGATGTACAGTATAATAGCTCAAATGCTGGCTCCTTAGTGAAGCTAAGCTCCAAACCCCCCCTCCCCACCTCAGTGATACTATAGAATTCCTCGGCCTTGGAACCCCTTTCAAACCTTTTCAGAGCTCCTTTGTGGCCTGGATCCTGCCATCATCTAAGCCTGGCACAGCCTGGAACTTAGCACACACTCAGAAAGTCTTGCAGCTGCCTCACAATACCTTGTGCAGCAGACCAGAGCACTAACTTGGTCATGTGTCCTCCAATTTTGAAAAGTAGATCACCTGTCCAGTCTGACTGTGTTGGAGCTGAGTGAGAACAATAGCCTTTCCTACTCACCTTGGCAGCACTGACAATGAACAAGATTTCACAGAATATTCTGAAAAAAGGCAAGGACATGTCCTGGGGTTAGTGGAATACTTGTGTCCGGACTAGTAGCTTTGGGAATAGAATTCCAGGGTTGTTGCAGGGACCACTCAGACTTGTCTCTGGCCAGAATGTATTTATTTATTTATTTATTTATTTTTAAATATATTTTATTGATTTTGTACAGAGAGGAAGGGAGAGAGATAGAGTTAGAAATATCGATGAGAGAGAGTCATCGATCAGCTGCCTCTTGCACACCCCCTACTGGGGATATGCCCGCAACCAAGGTACATGCCCTTGACCGGAATTGAACCCGGGACCCTTCAGTCCCCAAGCCAACGCTCTATCCATTGAGCCAAATTGGTCTTGGCCAGAATGTATTTATTAAGTTCCTAGTTCTGTTGTCCTGGGGTCTTGACTAAAATCTAGCAAAACCCTATTTAGCTATAATCACTCACACAAAAGTTTGCTGAGTGTATATATTCTTATTGCAAGAAGACTTATTATCTTACTGCCTTTTACTCTTTTTATTTTATTTATTCCAGCCAAAGACGAACCTCTACTTGTCAACAGAAATTTATCTTTGAAGGCTGATAGAAAGATACTAATACACAACACTTTGTTATTTCTGAGGAATGCAGGAGCATGAGTAAGGGAAAAACAGAATGGAAATACCTGGGGCTAAGGAGCCAAAGCAAAATAAATAAATAAATAAATAAATAAATAAATAAATAAATAAAATGTAGAGAAGTTTTCTGCTCTTATTTGCTTTGGTCAGACCCCCAGTTGGTCACTGCACTGGCAGGGGAGCAGAATTAAAAAGATGGTGTCCAGAGGACTGGGACTAGAAGGATGAGTGGACCCAAAACTTTTAGTAACAAGGGAAGAAAAAGGAACTAGTGTTCTATAGCCTATACAAGAATATGACCCAAGGCTGCAACCATAATTCTGGCCCTTTAATCTTGACCTTGTGGGAAAGTGACTGGATTTACTGTAAACTCAATAATTTTAGGGGGAAAGAACTAGATCCAATGGGTGGAAGTTCCAGAGACTCTCATTTCAGATGAATAAGGAGCGTTTTTTAATGGACAGAATTGTCTAGAGAAGGAAGAAACTCTTTTTCAAGAAAGTGAGGTCCTAAGACAGGGGTGGGTAGGTGGGTAGGAGGAGATTAACCAGAAAACTTATATGAGTATGTACCTAGTCCATGGACCAAGACAATAGTGTGGTGAAGGCCTAGGAGGGGTGGGCGCCTGGTGGAGAAAAAACAAAAACAAAAGGGACATCTGTAATATTATACTATCAACAATAAAGACAAATTTAAAAGAAGAAAAGAAAGCAAAGTCCTAATCATAGGTAAAATTCCATCAGAGTCTCAACAGTAACTAGTGAGGGCTGGCTTACTCACTGGAGTCAAGGCTGGGATCTCTGAGAACCTTCTGGCTCTACACCAAAGGTAGCCAAAGTAGCAAGGTACCACTGCTTTCTGAACTTTTAGGAGCCTAGTACTTAAGTTTAGTACTACTTATGGAGAGACTGCCCTTGAGGCGACTGAAAGTGGAAGAGTTTAGGATCAGTCCTAACGATAACTGTGATACTGGAGAACCCATGATTCCAGATCAACTAGTCTCTAGCAGAAGAAAAAGAAGCCCCCCCCCCCTTTTTTTTTCTTCGTGAGAACCCTTCTCTCTCCCAGGGAAGGCTGGTGCTTACCTATTGCCATTGCTTTAGTGATGATGTTGGCTCTGGGGCTTTGCAGTCACTAGGGTACCATTTTGAAACAATGCATAACTATCTACTAAACAGAACCACTAGTGACTTGAAAGCCCCTGGGCCTTGTCTCCTCTGTCACTTTTGATGATGGGTCCTACCTGTTTGGGGAAACTGAGATGCAAAAAGGCAAGAGGCAGGCCCATGGTTAGCTGACAGAAGATCAAGGATTCCAAGTCAAAAGTATTAAAACTGAATTTACCCAGAATTCCCAAGAAAAATGAAAGCATTTATAAGGCAGACCTCTTCCCCTACCTAGTATCGTGCAAGCAAAGCTCTAGCCAGATGAGCATGAGCTATCCCTCACCCAATGACTCAACAAGTAAAGCAAAAGCAGATTTCCTGCCTAGCCTCATGGACACAAAGCAAGATGCCTCCAAGGCAAATGGTTGGTTGGTGAATGGCTTCATCCGCATTCTGAAGACGATGAGGGCAGTGCCTCCACTGCCCTGACTTCCTCAGTATGTGTGAAGAGGATTTCCAGGGCTGCTCTGGGAGCAACCCTGAGGAGGTCCCTTGGCTTCTTATTCAGATCACCTAGGAACACAAGCAAAGATGCTCACACCTCATTGGAAGCTGAAGTATGAGACCCAGGACCCTCCCATCTGGTCCTTTTTAGGAACAAGATCAGAAAACCAGTGGTCACCACATACCCATGTTGAATTTACCATGAAGCCTTTGACAGAAATATGTGCTTGTCAGAGCTGCTCTTTTAAAATAAATGTTGATACAGCAGCCATTGTAGCTGCTGAAACTTCCTCCATACTACCCCAAACCTCACCTGGTTGACATTAGAATTCTAGCTTCTATCTCCTATTAGGAAAGTCTTTGATTCTCACTCAGCTGGCTTGGATTGGTTCTGGTTAAGGAGAACTCACACGAGCTATATTCCCCATAGTCATTCAAGTAGGTCAGTTGTAACAAAGACTTGAAACTGAATGGTCTGCATGACAAAGCTAGCTGCAAATTCTGACAATATAACTTTACTTACTTACCCTGTGCAGAGCTTGGCAAAGCACTTACTTCTTTGCAGATGAGACTGAGATGTAGTTACAAAGTCTCAGTTTCCTCTGCAAACAGTTGTAAGTGCTTAGCATTAACAAGACAGGAGCCATATTCTACAATATTTCCATGGTATGATTACATAGCATTTATATGTCTGATGGCTACCTCCATTCATCCCTACCACCCTCCTGGGACTCTGCTTAGCCTTTGTTCCAATGGGAACACTTACCGTCCATCATTGAGATAGTTTCAGTCTTATTGCTCACTCCTGTAAAATCAAACTGTAAGAGCTTCCAGGAATTACTCTCATTGATGTCAAGCTTGAAATCTTTCCATTTGTACGTTATCTCATTCTTAGGATAGGAAACTGTAAAGCAATGTGGGAAGAAGGATCATGTGAGACTGGGAAGCTTTGTGGAGGTCTCCATTAGCATGGAGTCTGAACAATGCTTTGGAATCCTGACTCTGGCCTCACCAGTGTGGCACCTTGCCTCTCTTACCTCATTGTTGAAGTCCATTCAATAAGTGCTTTTATTGAGCATTCCTCAGTACCAGGCCTTGTTCTGGAAATGCATAGATGAATAAGGCAAGAACCGTGCCCCTCAAGCATTCTCATTTTATTGAGTCGGACAGTGAGTATACACCTGTAATTCTTAAAATTGTTCTGAGAATCCTCTGCCCTTGGACAGTAGGGAGACACAGGAGGAAAAATCACTTGGGGATAGCCGAAATCAGTTTGGCTCAGTGGATAGAGCGTCAGCCTGCAGACTGAAAGGTCCCAGGTTCAATTCCGGTCAAGGGCATGTACCTTGGTTGCTGGCACATCCCCAGTAGGGAGTGTGCAAGAGGCAGCTGATCAATGATTCTCTCTCATTGATGTTTCTAACTCTCTATCCCTCTCTCTTCCTCTCTGTAAAGAATCAATAAAATATATATTTTTTAAATCACTTGGGGATATATCCAGAAAAGACTTCTTAGAGTAGGTGACATTCCCAATTAGTCTTTAAAGTTAAGTCAGTTTTTTTTTTTATATGTATGAGGCTGAAAGGGTGAGGAGGGTAGTCTATTCACAGAGAGATAAACATATCTGATGTATTAGGAAATGCTAAAAGTTCAGGATCGATAGCTACCAGATGTTAAATTAAGTATACAGGGGTAGGTATCAGGGGCCAATTTGTGATGGGCCTTGAGAAACATTATAATGATTTGGAATTGGTACATGAGAGATTAGGAAGTATTTGAAACTAAGAAATGACTTGTTCTAAATGATTCTTCAGCTAAGTCACTCTGGTCATAGTATGAAGATAGCTTGTTGACAGGGATACCAGTTATGGGAGGCTAGTGCAGTAATCCAAGCATAATAAAATGAATGAAGGCAGGATTCAAAGCTCTGGCAGTGAAAATGAAGAGGGACAGACAGGATCGATAGTGATTTGGAAGAGAATATCAACACAATGTAATTGATTAGATGTAGCAGGTGAAGAAGAAAGAAGCTTGAACAACTTAGTTGGTGATGATGTCTTTCAATGAGATAGGTGAGAACACAGAAGCATATTTGTTTTGGGGGTAGAGGTTGGGAGTAGGCTATATATTTAGTTTTGGACATCTTCAGCTTCAAAGTGAAGATGTTGCAAAAGTCCAAGTGGAAGATGACAAATACCTATCCAAGTCAGTAACAGTGGAGATGGAAAGGAACATACATACATGAGATACACTTCAGTGGTGGATAACAGACTTGAGATGGAGTGAAAGGGAGAGAAAGGAACCCAACATGAGCCACAGGTTGAGCAATGCAGTATTGTCAGCAGGGAAGGAGATGAGCATGGATTGGGTAGTCCTGGGCAATCCTGGCACCAACTTAGTAGAAATATAAAGGGAAAAGATGATAAAAAGGAGGATCCCGGTATGACTCTGGGGCCCCAGAAACCTAAGAAGGTACTCACAGCTAGAAAAAGACAGAGGGCAAGAGTGAGAATCCAGTGGATATTTGAACATGTGGAATGAACATCCAGCATCAATGATCATCCTGGAAGGGAGAAAGAAACCTCATTAGGCTGGCTCTGAACACTTACATATACACTCAACTTAGGCCCGAGGACCACCACTAATGAATGGCAACAGGAAGATATGAGTCAAAAAGCTCAAAGGAAAGTAAAAAAGACAGGAAGAACAGCTTGGAAGTATCTGGCTACTCTGGTCTCTATCATCAGAAAATTAAGTACTGAGGTAGATGGGCTTTTGTTTTTTGCTCATCCCAGCTTCCAGAAACTGCCAATACTTTCCCACTCTCTATCATCGCTCCACCTACTACACCAGCCATTCACAACCTTCCCCTACCAGGCATTCAGGTACCCAACCTGGTCTTTACTATCTTTCTGACCACTGTGTCACTGCCCAACCTAGACAATTCCACCACTATGAATGTGTCTTTACATCCAGTACCCTCTCTGGATGGAATTGTCCAGGCAATGCAGCCATACTGATACATTCTAGTAGGAGAGCGCTGGACTTGGAGCTAGTAAATGGGTACCAGTTTCAGCTCTGCCAGACACTTGGTGTGGCCTTAAGTACCATCTTTCTATTTTGAAGCTTTAGTGTCTATTATACATGAGGGGGTTGAGTTTGTGGTATCAGAAAGTTTGGAAAGGCCCTTAGAAGTATCATCACGGATGAAACCTCTGTCCATGTTTCTTTGGCAAAAAAAGTCTCAAAAGAGGAGGAAGAGTCCCAAGGGATGAGATTCCAGAGGTTTGACATACCTATCTATGAACAACACTTTGCCATCCTTGTAGATGCGGGTCACCCTGCTGTGCGTAGTGATCGAATGTTCATCGATATTCATAGAATTCTTAAAAACGATGTCTGGGATCCATAAATTTTTTGTCATGTTGCCATGCAGAACAAAGCTCTCAAAGCTGGCATTGTACCGAAGGCGTTCATCATACCAGGTCTGTTGTAAGGTGATGTCAATGGAGTACTTCTGATGGAAAAGATAAAATAAAGCCTATGGCATCCTGTAACAAGCTTATTAAGCAGATAGAAACCCACTTAGGTTTGCATACAGCAGGGATGGGGAACCTTTTTATTGTCTGCCAAAGGCCATTTGGATATTTATAACATCATTGACGAATCATACAAAATTATCAACTTAAAAATTAGTCTGCTCTATTTGCTCAAACATTTTTTTTTTATTAACTCACCCCTAATGCCTTGGCAGTGCAAGAGTAAATGATTTCTCAGGCTTTTACGAACTATGGGTAGGATGTTCCCCACCCCTGGCATTAGAGGAAAACAGCATGAGATAGTTTGTGAACACACATAGTCTACTCTGAGTAGAGGAGCTAAAAGAAACAAAACCAGAGTCCTGAGTTGGCTCCAGCCTTGAAGAACTCTAACTGATAGAGTATGGGTTTAAAAGTCATGCTTTAAGCAGGGTCAGAATTGTAGGAGATACATGACTCAGGCTTAGGAGGCCAGGTTGATATATGGATTGGGGTAGGCAGAAACCTTGGATTTTGTGTTCTTCAAGTGGGAAATAATGAAGGCTCACTGGGGACAGAACCAACACTAGAATGATAGCATTAGAAAAGGAGAGAAGGAACCAGGGAAAAATTAGAGAAACAATCTTAGAGTGAGAGTTGCTAACTATAGTCTTAAATCCATAAAAATCATTTTCAGCTGAAATCAGTTTGGCTCAATGGATAGAGCGTCAGCCTGCGGACTGAAAGGTCCCAGGTTCGATTCTGGTCAAGGGCATGTACCTTGGTTGCGAGCACATCCCCAGTAAGGGGTGTGCAAGAGGCAGCTGATCGATGATTCTCTTTCAGCAATGTTTCTAACTCTCTATCCCTCTCTCTTCCTCTCTGTAAAAAATCAATAAAATATATTTTAAAAAATCATTTTCAGAAGTAAAAAAAAAAAAAGCCATTCCATTGTGGTATTTAAAGTTGCTTTATTATTTTTATTTTGAATGAAAGACTGGAAGATGTAGTCAGGATTCTGAAGGTCCTCTTCAGGCAGTGAGGGATTTACTTACCTTTCCCAGATTCCTTTTCAAGTCAGTGTTGGTTAAAATCTCTACCTCCAAACCCCCTGCCACCCTAAACTTTCATTACAGATACAAAGAGCAGAAAAAAGAAGTATGTGAAAGGCCTCATGGATCAACTCCCTAATTTAGGAGATACTGTATGTATTAAAGCTCAGTACTCACCGTGTCTGTGATAGAGATAGGACCAAAGTTGTTGACAAAGAGCTCAACAGTAATCTCAGTGGGTTTCTCTGCAAAGGAAGCAGAAGTAGCAGAGGTAAGTTTCCTACAGGGGAATGTGACAGGGAAGGGTGTGGTCTGAGGGGGGAAAAAGGGGGAGAAGAAGCAGGGTTAAACTAAATGGTTTCAACATCCAATCCTTTTCTTTATTCTTTCATGGCAAGAACCAATTCATAGACTGTTAAGAGTTATACATACTTCAAAGATCATATCACCTAGTTCAGTCATCTCATTTTATAGCTGGAAAAATGGGATGAGAGAAGGAAAAAGTCTAGACCAAGATAAATGGCATTGCTGAGCTATAGTTGACCTCTCTTACCTGAAAGGTGAGCAACAGATGTTCCTACCAACATTCTTGGCACCTTCACCAACACCCCAGTCTTATTCTCTATAGTTATGCCCTCAAACTCACTCCCCTCTGGGAAGGAAGAACTAAGTTCTATTACTTACCACCTATGCCGGGGCGCAGTTTGGAATCAGAATTCTTCAGGATACTGTCCAGGATTTGAGTGGCTTCTGCCATTTTTCCAAGGTCATCTTGGGTATCAATAGGAGTGGCCTTTATTTTTTTAGAGGGAAATTTCTTTTGGCGAGCCTGGGACTTGGGGCCATAGACATTATTAAGGTAAGTACATGGTTCCACCTCTGATTCAACATGAGTTCCTTCAATCCTAGAATACACAAACAAAAAATGAAACTTTTCCCTTCAATCTGTAGGTGCCCCAGTAGGTACCTCTCTGGACAGAAACAAACCAAAATAACCTGCAACCTAAGGCATAGTTAAAGAGTGACTATCAACAGTAAATTATGAGCCAGTAACAGATTATACTTATTTATTTCCTCTAAATCTTGCTGCTTTTTGGAAATTTCCCATGCTATCCTTTTTTTATGATGATTATTTTTTCAAAAATCAATATCAAAACTTAGCTCAATATTTTAAAATAATTTTTCAATGTAAAATGGTGAAGGCACTGATGTATGAACTCTAGCTGCAGTTGCTAAGATTGTCTCCAGTCTGCCTAACCAGCACCACCCAGGAGCAAATTGGCAGGCAGAGGGCCAGGACTTCTGGGGAATGCTCAGGAAAGCCAGAGAAACCTCTCCCAGAGAGGGTTGGAACTCTGTGGAAATAGTCCACATTTCTTTGCTTTCCTGATACTCATTGCATTGGAGTTGGAGGCTGGGAGTTGGGGGAAACTCTAAGCATTGAGAAAGGGCAGAAGTCCTTCACCCAAAGACTGTCATCCAAGAAATAGATGGCCAGAAGAAATACACCCTGAGAGCCACAACCATGCACCATAGCCAAGAAACTGAGAAGAATAATTAAATTAAAACAAAAAATGTAAAAAGGCACCTGCCAATATATTATATTTATTTAGTCAAGATTGTGCTACCTTGCTAAGGGGCAGTGAGGAAGGGGTTTCCAAGGGTCTTCACCTGATCATTTTCTAGTTCCTAATGTGGGTGTCTTGATGTCAGTGTGGCAATTTTTGAACAACTCATGGGGTGTACACTTACAATTTGAGCACTTTTGTGAATACACTTTCTAATGCAATAAGAAGTTTTGAAAAATAAATATGCTAATAAAATTGTTAATTTGTGGACCTTATTCAGATCCTGATTTTAAAAGGCAAACTAAAAAAAAACAAAAAAATGTGACAAGATAGAGGCTATCTGAACACTGATTAGATAGTTTCTTCAGCATGAAGAAATTCTTCTAAAGTTTTTGGTGTAATCGTGATATTTTATTATGTTTTTGAGGGCCTCATGACTAGAAATACATACTAAAACGATTACATATAAAACGATATAATGACTTAAAAGATTTGTTTTTAAAATAATTTAAGCCGAAAATGGAGTTTGTTGGGTACAGAGAAAATAAGAGTGGCCATGAGTTGATAATTAATGAGGCCGATGATGGGTACAAAGAAATTCACTCCACTGTTCCCTTACTTTTACATATCTTGGGAAAATATATAATAAAAAGCTTTTTGATAAGCTAGGAGGAAAACTGATCTCTGATACTAGAAAACAGGAGAGTGGTTTCATTTGGGAGGGGTGAACTGGTGGGGGGGGCGTGTAATGAGGGCTGTAGGGGGAGGGGGTGAAAGTGACTGGAATATTCAATTCCCTGGTTTAGTGGGGGTTACAATGGCATGTTTACTTTATGAATATGCCCTGAGCTGTTTGCTCAGATTTCTATATTTTCATATTTGTATATTACACCTTCAAGAAAATTTTTTTAAAACTTTAGAAAATTTGTTTCCTATAAAAAGGGGTTAACAGGGCAGAAGATGTGGGCATGGCCTCTGTATTGCAGCCCAAGGGACTGCCAATTTGAACGCCAAAATGCATTTTCTTATACTATTTCAAGCTCTTAAAATGGCTTAAGTGGTGTACAGATGTGCCACATCTATGCCTTTTCTCATGAACAAAGTGGCTAATTCCCATTGTGGGCAAGGGGAGAACTGGGCTTAGGAAAAACAGTTTTCATTTCTAAATACCACATCCAGAGACGTCCCTTTTCCCTGAGGTTTTCTCTTAGTCCTCCAAATAGATAACACCAATCACTTTGGGAGGTGAGGAGGGAAAACAGGGGCTTGAGAGCCCCTAAAATAAGTGACGTGGCCAGGAATTAGCACAATCAGGATTCGCACTGCCAGCCAAGACTAAGAACCCGCAGCAGCCCCTGTCTGAAGCCAAAACTCAAAGAATCTGAGGTTCAAGAAGCAAATAAGCAAAAGCCGGAGATCACCAACCCCCCCTCCCCTCTTGCTCATTCACTAGTCCAAAATGAAAATGATATCAGTGGAAGTTGATGTTGCTGTAATTTTACAATTATATTTAGCAGTAAAGAAACAAAAACACTCTGATCCTGGGATTCTTAGGGTTAAGGAGCTGCTGACAAGGCATACCTTTCCTCAGCCATTAAACCCGTTTTCAGGGCAAGAAAAAACCAAAAATTTGAAAAGCACTCATGCACTGGATTAGTGGAATCATCCCATGGGTTTTTTCACATCCTTTCTTTTTTTTTTTTTTTTTTTTTTTTTTTTTTTTCCCCAAAAATCAGCCCTCTTTTTCACCTTATAGATGGAAAAACTGAGGCTCAGATGAGGGGAGGGCTGTGCCTAAAGTCACACAATTAATTTGAGGCTTAGCCTGGACCAGAGCAAGTATTCCTGTTTTGCTGTGGCCCTTTCCAGCATACCCCTCTGCCCCCTCCCCAGCTCTTTGTTGACGTCAGGGGTTGCCATGTTGACAAGGTTTGGACATCAGTTACTACAGCCCTTCCCCCAGGATAGAAAGGTAGTTTCCATCTCAATAGCCCACCTTCCTGCTTGTTTCCCTCTCTATGTCCCCTCCATCCCTCTATCTTCCTTCCGTGCTCCCACCCCTCTTTTGCTCTAGCCAGTCATCACATCAGCTCTCCCACCCAGTCTATTTCACATTTGGATGGATGTGGATAACTGGAAATTCCTAGCACAAAATCAGAAATATTTTCCAAGCCTCTGCTGCCCTCACCCCCAAGTGAGGGCACCAGTGAGCCATACAGTCAGCCCCTCCCTCGAGGAACCAACGCATTCCAAGGTGAGAAAAGAAGCCATCTTCAATCTCCCCAACACAGACAATCAAGACACAAGCCCAGTGCCATGGAGAATTCGAGAATGCTAGGCAGATCGGAAAGCTTAGGGAAACTTGATAGTACGAAGTCAGCAAGAAACCCTCTAAAAAATATAAAGCACTTATCTTTTACCCTAAAAAGCCAGCAATTCAGGGAACATTCCTAGCAAAGTCCCAGGGGCAAGGCTACCTGCTGATAGCCTTTAGAAAAGTGAGGAGAGACTGAAATCCGGGACCCAAACCATACACCTCAGGGAATAGAATTCCTTGATCTCTGGCTCCAGTCTGTCCAAGGACCAGCAGTGTGTGTGTGTGTGTGTGTGTGTGTGTGTGTGTGTGTGTGTTTTGGGGGAAGAGGAAAAAGGAAGAAGGGGAAACTCGCGGTAGAAAGGGTGGAGTGGATAGCTGGGGTGGGACCTTAGAACTAAATTGCTAGTGTAGAAGCAAGTGTAAAGTCAGAGTTCTCTAGCACCATGATTACCACTCTGGGGGGGGGGGGAGGAAGATCGAGAAGGGAGACTGGCCAATAATCAACACTCAAACACTTTCTGCAACAGTTTTGCTTCCCCAGCCGCCCTCGTTTTTTTAGGAGCTATCTTCCCAAAGCTCCCCCCCCCCCCCCCCCCCCCCCCGCTCTCCCGGGACTCCCAGTTCCATTGCCAAAACTGCTGTAACTGATAGCCCAATGCTCGCCTCTTCCCAGGAAAGACTCTGAGAGCAGAAGGCTTGCTGGCTCTCAACCACTGCACTGGTTTGGGGAGGGGGAGTCCAGCCACAGCAGATGAGTGGGGGACAAGCATCCTGCCTTCGTTCCCAGATGCGCCCTTTCAGGGGTCTAAAGCGCCTGTCCTGGAAGATGGTTGCACAGGCTCAGGCTCAAACTCGGGAGGGAGGGCGGGAGGCAAAGTGTGCGTGGCTCGTGTGCGCGGCTCACCGGAGCCGGTCCCAGGGAGAGGGAGCTGGGCGCGAAAGGCTCCTGGATTCCGGGTTGGAGACTCACCTAGATGGCAGGAGTATGGGGGTGCTCAGGAAGATCAGGAGCACTTTGATCAACATCTTGCCAGAGACCGGAGCAACCACCTGTGCGGTGGTCGCTGCGCACGGTCTTGCCGCACCAAGGTCTCTCCTCTTGCCGCACCGAGCGAGCGAGCGCAGAGTGGTTATGTTGGGCTCCAACTTTCACTCCTCCCACTCGTGCCCGATTGGCTCCGCCTCGGGCCCCGGTGGAAATCTCCTACCACGAGTTCGCTGCGGCTGCAGGGAGTGGAGGCGGGCGGTCTGTGAAGGCTGCAGAAGGAGGAGGAGTGGGGGAGAGCCCTGTAGCTTAGAGGCCCCCGCTCCCTTCTGCCTTCACCACTGCGGCACAGCCAGACAGCCAGGGGCGGGGATGCTGGTGAGCTGGAAACACTGAGGAGCCCCAGGCAGAACAAAACAGTGGTCCGAGGCTGAGGCTGCGACAAGGACAGCATGGACAGGTTCCTCGGTGGGCTTCTCCTTCTTCCATGGATCTCTCCAGCCCACTTTCGCATTGCAGGCTGGAACTATGCCCTCCAGCTTATTTGGCTTCTCACTACCACCTGTTGCAGCACATCATGCTCAAACGAAGCCTCTCTTCTGATATTTCATCCTCATTCCACACCTTCCAGTCTTTCAGAGCACATGTCTTGGCAGCCTAGGAGCAACTTCCTTGACACGGGAAGGAGACTTGGGAATTTCCCTAGCAAGCTCTAGTATGAGCTACTATACACATCAGTTTCTAAGATGTCTAAGAGGTCTTTAAAACAGAAGGATCAGGCATTCACTGGAGGATTTTTGCAACACTCCACAGAGATACTGACACACTAGCTTCTGGTTTAGCCTGGGGGCCTGGGTGTGAGATGGACCACCTGGAGTGGAGGGACTTTGGGAATCACTTCTGCAAGATCAGCTGAGAGTTGGCTCTAGGTGATGGGGCTCAAATCTTCCTGGAGAGTTGGCTCTAGAGGGTCAATGTCGTCATTCAGGGGGCACATCTCAAGAGTCAAGTATCGTTGGGTTTATTTTTCTTGCGTAGATCCTCATGATTCACTTCAGATGGGAAAGAATTGCAGAGATTTGAGCATAAAGCTGATGTCAAATACTAGCAGCATCCTTACCTGTTGTTGCTCTAGAATGGGCTGTGTGCATCCCACTAAACCTGGTGGCTCACTGGAGAGACTTTGCTGTGTTATGCTAGTTTAATACACCCTTTCTACCTCCCACCTCCATCCCATCACTCTCCTTGTCGTCTTCACAACACTGCTCACTCACTAATAATTTTCTTGGGCAATTCTTTGTGGGCTTGTTTACACTGGATTTCCCCTATTGGAACAAGCTCAGTAACAAGTACAAAACAAATGTGACTGATTTTCTTCCACATATCTGAAACTTAGATGATTTCTGGGTACACAGTAGGCAGTCAACAAATATTTGGTATGTCCTTTGTGCAGCTGTGCATCGTAGTGCCACTAAGTTCACTGTGATCTGGACTCCCTTCAGACTCTGCAAGAGAGAAGACTTCAGGGAACATTCAGACCTTATGTATGTATGCTTCCTAGCCTTGTGACAGGTCCAGTTTCATGGGTGTGAGACCTGTGCAATTCCACAGGCTCTGCACACAGAAGGGGCCTATACTTTGTTTAATGCCTTTCTGTTACCCTTTCAAAATTCTTAATTTTTTAACAAGTGGTCTTGCATTTTTATTTTTCCCTGTGCCCTGTAAATTCCGTATCCACTCTTGCCCTAGGGAGACATGCTGCAGATCAAAGAACAGGCAAACACAGAACATTCCTGAGTCTCCAAACAAAGAAAACTGTCTGGTCATCTGCCTGCCTTTCTGTCCAGCACCAGACTGCTGCAGAGAGGTACTTACTATAGCTAACCTTGCACTTGAAGTGTCCTATATACATGTCAGTTCTTCCATACATTGGAGCTACAGAAGATGGTTGTTCATCTAATTTACCTGTCTTCTCCTGGGTTGAGTTCAAAACCAGTGTTAGGTATATTTGCTGAATGAGTGACTGAATCGCAGGCAGCCAAGAGGCAAGTGGTTACAACTTCTTAATCAGAGGACCCACCCAGGATACTTTTCTCTTAAGGGTTGAGATCATTCACGCTTTCCAGTTCTCTAAGTATTTCACATGTTCTTGTCTGTGCTAGGCCCTGGAATTGGTGATGGAAGAATATACAGCAAGGCCTCAGACATGGAATTGGCTCCCACATTTGTGGTACAAGAGAGGACAGTGAGCTTCTTTCAGAAAGTATTAACACAAAATAGAAAGTTACAAATGCCCTGCTATTCCCAGAAAGATAGGATTGCCTCTAGCTGGCCAGTCCTGGAATCTGCATACAGGCTGAAGAAGGTTGTACTTCACATGGACTTGAGCTTGGCAGCAATAAGTAGGTTTCACAGGCAGAGTTTCAGAGATGGACATTCCAAACAGAAAGCCAGCCAAGGTGTTGAAATCAGAAATGTGTGGTGCTTGATAGAGAGCAAGGAGGGGTTTGCAGGGAGCACTTGTGTGAAGAAGTACTATCTTTATATATATATATATATATATATATATATATATATATATATATATATATATATATAAAAGCTTAATATGTGAAGCGTCCCTCTGACCATTAGACTGACCAGTTGCTATGATGCAGACTTACCACCAGGGGGCAGATGTTCCAATCAGTAGGTTAACTTTCTGCTGGGGTCTGGCCAATTGAGACTGGGCGAGATGGGCAGGACATACTCTGGAGCCCTCCCACAGTCCTTCCCTGGCCCTGATTATGCACTAGTGGGGTCCCTTGGTCTGGCCTGCACCCTCTCATAATTTGTGATTCCTCTGGGGATGTCAGAGAGCCAGTTTTGGCCCAATTCCTGCAAACCAGGCTGAGGGACTCCATCGATTCATGAATCCATGCACTGGGCTCTAGTGGGAAATAAAGCTGGAAATAATCCATCTAGTGGGAGGATGGAAAGGCTAGTGCTGGGCCTTCAATGGCAGTCAAGAACTTGCACTTTATTCTGTAAGCAAAGGGGAAGTCACATAAGAGTGTTTAGCAAGTCAGAACTTATTTTTTTTAGAAGACCCCTCTAGTGGAGGCAGGGAAGAATGCTTGCAGGAAAGAAAGACTACAACCTCTTTTCTCCCCAAGAAGAAGTCACACCAATCTGAATGAGAGCAGAGCCACAGGATAGTTGGAAAGGAGGGAGCAATCTGGGAGTGGTTTAATTGATGGCTCATTACATAGAGTGGGGGAGGAGGCAAAGGAAAGAGGTTTGCTGGAGAAGAGGTAACCAGGGTGGCAGAACAAAAATATGGAAGGCAGGATGAGAGGGGAGAGTTTTAGTCACAGCTTATAGAATGATATCCTGCATTTTAGACTTCACTTCTTAATGTTCCAAGAACTTTCACATTTATTGTCAAGATGTGTGTGTGTGTGTGTGTGTGTGTGTGTGTGTGTGTATCCACTTCTCAATCCTAGGCTATTTGTACTTCAAATATGTCTTTCTTCAATGTGATATTCAAACTGGATATAAGGGTAAGCCAGAGCTGAAGTGAACGGGGACAGTTAGGTTTCAGGACAGACAGACACACAGTGGAGGCTGAGGCAGCCAGCACAGTAAAGTGATGGGACCTTTGTGCTCCACTACAGGCAAGACTGAGTTTGAATTACAGATACTCCACTAGATACTGGCAAAATGGCCATGAGAAAACCAGTTAAAGCCCCCCCTGAGCACCATGTTTTTTGTGTGTAGAATGGGAGTTATAATGCTTTTCACATGGCATTTGTGATTATTCAATGGCATAGTATATGTAAAGCATTTTGCACAATGTCTAGCACATGCTCAATATGTAACAAAACCTATGTGCCCTTCTAAGCATTACTTTTATTCAATAACTGATAAATAGCAGTGCTTGCACATCTGACATCCCTGAGATCTTGAATAGCACCTAGGAAGTATCTGACTAAGGAGCAAGAGCCCAGCTCCAGATTTAAACTGTAGAGCAAGGTTTTTATCCCAGAGAAGAATCCATCCAGAAGGTGGAAATGGAGTGGACAAAACAGGACTCTTGACCACAGCGAACTAACCACTAAGCAAGCACCCCAGGCTTGTGGTATTCAGGTCCAGTCTACAAGTGAGAGAGAGTCATGGCCAGGGATGGAGATTGAGAATCACCAGCACATGGGTGCTATTCAAATCCATGAAACTGGATATGGTCACCCAGGGAGAAAGAAGATTCATGAGAGGGCTGTCACAACAACCAATAGAAGAGAGAGACTTTTCTATTAGGATAGCAGGATTAATCAACAACATTCCAGTGATATGAGAATTAAATGGTGCCCACTGAGCTTATCAACAAGGAAGTCATTGATGAGCTTGGTACCAGCTGTTACAGTGGAGAAGGTGGGTTCGGGGACCAGTTCACAGAAGACTGAGGAGTGCAAGTGCTGGACATTGGGTGCCATTTAGCACCAGTGGTCTAGATCTGGCATCTAGAAGGGTTCTGGAAACCTGGAGAAGGGGCTGTGGGTAAATTAATAAAGAGTCCAGAGATGAAACATAATTTTGAAAGGCATATTGGGAGGGGGGGGGCAGAGGAGCTTAGCTGAAGAAACCAAATTTCCCTTGTCTCAGGACCCCTTGCTTTTTATTAACATAATTTGTCCTAAGGCAAGGTAGAGATATACACATCAAAGGCCAGGGTTAGTCTACAGAGTCCATTCTCAGATTGGGGAATTGCCTTTGGCTGTTCAGATGTTTGGCCAAAAGGAGGCAATAACATGTAGATTGTTTGGCCAAAAGGAGGCAATAACATGTAGATTAAGATGCCCTAAACCAGTGTTTTTCAACCTTTTTTGGGCAAAGGCACACTTGTTTCATGAAAAAAATCATGAGGCACACCACCATTAGAAAATTAAAAAATTTAACTCTGTGCCTATATTGACTATATATAAAGTAATTCTCTTGAATAGGAATCAAATAAACACAAAGAAAGTATTTTATAATTACTTTATTATGAAATATTAAGTAAACAAAATAGTGAAAAATTATAAAATTCTTGTCTTGTCTGCACCTACGGCACACCAGGCAACATCTCGCGGCACACT